GGAACATTGGTCTCTTCTCCCTCATTTATTTATTTATTCAATTGATTGTTTGTATTAGTATGGGCCCATGGATATTTATTTTATTCTTTGGGATATAATGTAATACTATCATTTGTTTTGCTCAAGTTATTCCAGCTTTGACCATTGGGAGCTCTTTTGGGTTGGCCCCTGTGTCCTTTTGACATGTCCTCATTTTTTTAAAGCACTTTCTTACTTTTTGGCACCAGAAGATACTAGGCTTAACTTGCATTTTTCCTGCCCTGGCTCTGGAATCAACTAGTTCTCCAAAGAACCTTGGTTTCTTTTATTGGAGAATGGTAATTGGAAACCCAAGATCTGGGTGCTGGGCATGATCATTGCAGCTAAGGTACCTCTGCTTCTAGTACTAAAGGGCAATTTTAATAGACTAAAATCTAAAATGGTCATACCCTTTTGACCCAGCAATTCTGTTAGAAATATATCCTGTAGAAACACTGGCATAAATATATTGCTGAGGATATTCATTGCTGTATTTCTAATGAGAAATTAGAAGAATCCAATATGTCCATCAATAGGGAAGAATGGTTAGACTTACTTTTGATATGGTCATACAATGGAATACCATAGAACTGTTAAAAAATTATTAGGTAGATCTATGTGTTTTGACATGGAAAGACGTGTAAGAGAATCATTTTTTAAAAGAAACTGCAAACCTGTGTGTCTGTGTATTAAAATATACTTTTAAGACTCCCCAAGGGTAACCATCAAACTCTTAAAAGCTGTTATTTCTAGAGGATTGAATAAAAAAGATACTTTCACTTTGTATTTTTATTTTGTAATGTTTCAGTTTTTTAAACAGCTTTGCTGAGATATCATGAATGTTTTAAAAACACTTTTTGTTTTAGGTTACCTAACTTTTCCATGAAGCAACATTCTCATCTATGACAGTCTGGAATTATCTTCATACTCTATACACTGTACACAGTAGATATTAGGTTGTTTGACTTAAGCTATAACATTTTGTTTTGTTTTAAATTGGTGAGAGAGAGAGAAAAAAAAAGAGAGAGAGATTTGTTGTTCCACTTATTTATGCACTCATTGGTTGATTCTCGTATGTTGCCTGACCCGGGATCGAACCCGCAACCTTGGCGTATCTGGACGACTCTCTAAGGAACTAAGTTACCTGACCAGGGCAGGTTATAACATATTTAAAATAAATTTTAATGTTTATGAATCAAGTGACTCACAATTTTATGACCATTTAAGGCTTCTGGAACACTTATACACATGTAGATTCTTAAGGGGAAAAGAAAGGATTCTGCTCTAACTTAAATTCTGAGCAGTAATCTCCAGTAGGTACTTTGACTGGCTTATGACAGTCCTGTTGGCTTATTTTAAATGAGTCATTTTCTTGTTTCTTTATGATTTTTATTTTATTTTTAAATGTGTTTTTATTGATTTTTTTAGAGAGAGAGAGAGAGGAAGGGAGAGGAGGAGGAGAGAGAGAAACATCAATGAGAGAGAACCAACATCAATTGGCTGCCTCCTGCATGCCCCCTATTGGGAATTGAGCCTGAAACTCGGGCATGTTCCCTGACCAGGAATCAAACCAATGGCCTACCTGTGCGTGGGTTGATGCTCATCCACTGAGCCATACCGACTGGGCTCCTTTGTAATTTTTAAATCAAATTTTAAGTAAACAATTTTTATTTATGAAAATTTTGGAAGATACTACAGCACAAAGAATATAAAGTGTAAAACAAAATTCACCTTTAATTCTACTACACGGCAATAAGTAGCATTAATATTTGGTCTATATCTTGTTAATATTTCTATGAATATGTACCTACTTAAATATATATGTATATAATGGAGTCACACATATTGTTCTATAGCTGTGTTATTTCTTGATTTCACTATTTCTAATCTTTGAACTAACTATACTATATAGTAAGCAGTTTTTATCTACTACTACTTGCCGATATAAGACATATATATTTATCTAAAACAAGACCTATAAAAGACCATTGCTTAAGGAGATGTTTTGTAAGGGACTCACCAGAATTTACTTTTAGATATGAACGCTATGTGCTTAGGACTTTGTTAATATTTTCTACTCTTTTCTGAAACATTCATTCTTATTTTTAAACTTTTTAAGATTGGCCTTTGACATTTAGTACAGGAGGAGGATTCATCATGCTTGAAATATTTCCAACAGATGTTATCACAAGTTTAGTTAGTATTTACTTCCAGAAGAATGTTTCCAAAATATTGGTTAACAGACTAACTCATTTGCAGAGAGGGCATAAACTAAGCACATTAATGGTTTGTTTTTAACTTTGTCTCAAAATATGAGGGTTATCTGAAGGCGAACACCACCACCACCTTGGATTTATGTCACTTTTTCCTTAATCACTCTGTTAGCTGCACGGCTGCTGTTTTGCTCCCTGGTATCCATTCAGTGAGTAAGGCTTTTTCAGTGCTGCCTCATTTCCTAATTGAAAGGTGATAAACTCTAGATGCTATATTATCTCTTTTTTTTCATACCACCAGGTGATTGTTAAATAGAATGTTGTGTTATTCTGGCAACAGCCTCATATATCTTGTGTTTATGGTGTCTCGATTGCATCATTTTCTCTTCTGCTTGATTTAATATCATGGTGTTTTGCATAGTAATATGCTGTACTTTTAGAGTGTACTCTTTCTACTTATAAAAATATATAGTATAGTAAATACATAAACCTGTAACAGTTGTTTATTATCATTATCAGGTATTATGTACTGCACATAACTGTGTGCTATACTTTCATATGACTGGTAGTGCAATAAATTTGTTTCCAGCAGCATCACATGAGTAATGCACTGTCCTATAAACTCATGTTATGACATCACGAGGCAATAGGAATTTTTCAGCTCTGTGATGATCTTATAGGGTCACCATCGTATATGCAGTCCATTGTTGACCGAAATGTCATTAAATGTAGCACATGACTATATATGAAGTTACCCCCTTTTGTGTTAACATCAAATGTTAGCCCTCTGGAAGAAAAATAAGAAAATGTTAAATAGCATGCTTTCTGTTTATAAATAGTCTTAACCATTTGTATTCACACATCTACTGATACTGTTGCCAGCACCCCCCTCCCCAAAAGTAGATTGTGGATAGTAACTTGATGTTGAAAAGTAGTTCTATTAACTGCCAATTAATTAAAATACCTGCTAGCGTGGATGTTTGTTTTAGGACTTCCATTGGGGTGTCTAGATTTTAAAAATTGAAGGGTTATTCTCACAATCATATGCAAGTAGTACTTGAAATAAGAAGAATGGAAATAAAAGCTTAGTTCTTCAGAATCATAACATCATGCCCAGGACACCCCGGGGGAGCTGAAATGTGAGCAAGCAATATCAAATTCCTGGAGGGCCTTATTTTACTGTCCAAGTATTCAAATGGCAGGGAGGTTTTGCCTGCTTGATCCTCAACTGCAAAATGATCCCTAAACCTTCATAGTGTGTACAGAACATCACAAAACTGACCTGTGTATCCCTTGAGGGGGGATGAAAATATCTCTACCTTTCTACTTAGACCAGTGCTAATTTGGAAAGAGCTGTGCATTATTTAAAGGAAATTGTTCATTTTTCATTTTGATGGAAAATAGGTGCCTGTAGCCATTTGGGGTAGGAGTGTCTAACTAGTCCTCTCTGGTCAGCCTTTGTCTCTGTCTCTGAACTTGGCTCCTATCCTGACTGTGGAGGAATAAGGGGAACAAATAAAACTGTTAAGAACATGACTGCAGCTTCTTGCATTTTCTTTTCTTTTTATTGAGATATAATTGACTTGTAACATTGTGTAAGTTTAAGGTATGTACTGTGTTACTTTTATACATTTATATATTATAATATGGTTACCACCATAACTTTAGCTAACACCTCCAGCATGTCACGTAACTGTCATTTCTTTTTTGTGGTGAGGACATTTAAAATCTAGTCTTTTAGCAGTTTGAAGAAAGTAACATAGTATTTTTGATTATAATCACTGTGCTGTATAATAGCTCTCCATAACTTATTTAGCTTCTAGTTGCAAATTTGTACCCCACATTTTCCCCCTAACCTCAGCTCTTGGTCACCACCATTTTATTCTGTTTCTATGCCTTCAGCTTTTTTAGATTCTACATAAAAGTGATATCATACAGTATTTGTCTTTCTGTTTGACATATCTCACTAAGTAGAATGCCCTCAAGGTCCATACATGTTGCTGCAAATGGCAGGATTTCTTTCTCATTTCTGAATAAATATTCCATTGTATATGTATACCACATCTTCTTTATCCATTTATCTGTTGGAAGATGCTTAGGCTGTTTTCATATCTTGGCTATTGTGAATGAATGCTGCAGTGAGCATGGGGATGCAGATATCTTTTCGGTATCCTGTTTTCATTTCCTTTGGATATATACCCAGAAGTGGGATTGCTGAATCATATGATAGATCTACTTTTGGTATTTTGAGAAACCTCCAAGCTATTATTCATAATGGCTGCACCAATTTACGTTCCCACCAACAGTGCACAAGAGTTCCCATTTCTGCACATCCTTGACAACACTTATTATCTCTTGTCTTTTTTATAATGGTTATTATAACAGGTATGAGGTGCTATCTCATTGTAGTTTTGATTTGCATTTCCCTGGTGGTTAGTGAGGTTGCACACCTTGTCATGTACCTGTTAGCCATCTGTATGTCTTCTTTGGAAAAATGTCTATTAATTCCTCTGCTTATTTTTCAATCTTGCCATTTGCCCATAGAATTTGAACTGCTGTTTCTTAGAGTCAGGCTCAATTACTTTTCTGAGATCCTAATAGCACTGCTACTAGTGAGACACTCATCTCTTATCATTTCTTGTTTCCCCTTTGGTACATGGCTCATCATGAGCTAAGGTGCATATGTAATGTGAAACAGCACTTGAGGTTTTTTTAAAAGGGGTTCTTTATTCATGTCATTGTACCAATAAATGTTGTCTCTTATTGCAGATTGAAATTGTGAAAGATATTTGTGTTCTTCTTAAGAGAAGAGGAAATCTGTAAGTATTCATTCTTTAAAAATTCTAAACTTGTAATTATATCAGCTTTTAGAGAAAATTAACTGCCCATAACAGCAGGCATCTTGACTCTTTTTATAGTGGAAAAACCCTGCCAATATTTATATTTCTGTTAAAAGAAAGGCAGCATTTGGAAAAGTAATAGGAAAACTTTTTACCTTGTGCAACTCTTAGGATTGAAACCATCTGTCACTCTTTATAAAAGGGAAAATGATAATTAATATCTAAATAAAATCTTAAAAATGGAGTCGAAGATTAGAATTCCAGTCTAGTGAGGCTTATAGGCTGTGTGTGTCTTTGACAAGCTATTTAGCTTCCCTTTGTATCAATTTCCTCATCTGTAAAATGGGCTTAATAGTAAGTATCCAGTGATTGATTCATTATTATTGAAGTTCCATTTGTAGTAGTGTATACTTTCGTGCAGTACATTGAAGCTTATTCTAGTTACTTTCTTAAACTGATTTAAATATATTTCTGATCTTCAAAAATTTAAGTATTAGTACTGTGCTTCACTGAGGCACCTATTCTAGACAATAATATAGAATAAAGGAAATACAGCAGATTACCTAAAATTAGAATCATAGTGTTTGAGCCTTGGACCTTGAAAATTACCTAGTCTAGTAGTTCCCTAACATTGATTTTTAGGCCAATGCTTGTCAGTGAAGAGTTTTTACTGATCCATGGTGAAGTGCAGGAAATAAGGACAATAGGCCATGAATTTTTTTAAAGATAAACTTTTTCCTCTTAAAGGATTGCTTCTTATTATAAGATATATCCTTCTCATTTTGGGAAATTAAACATGTTCTATATTTTATGAAATGATTGTGATAGTAAGTGGTAGTTGTGTGTGTGTGTTCTTTAATGTTCATACCTGGCAAAAGGTTGACAGCTGTGTTATTCCATTTACCATCCTTCTTTCTTTATAATTTTGTTACTGGTCTGTGATATCTTAAAATATGAATCCAACTTTCTCCTTTTATAGATGATGAAACAGAGTAGGAATTATTTAATTTGTTTCAGGTCTTATAGCTCAGCAAGCTGCTTGAACCAGAATCAAAACCCTGTATATAGTGCTGCCTCTCATATTTCTGATCTTCTGAGAATTGCTTTCATTATAATAGGTTAAGAAGTTGAAACAGAAAATCTACTAGTTTGTGTGTGCTGGTAACTAATTTTGAATTTCAACTATAAAGAAATTTGAGCGACTTAATATTCTTCTATTGCTGAGTGCTAAAATCTACTGATTAGCCTGCATTTAGAAGAATCTAAAACATGGCCAAAGATTTTCTTTAGCAGGCCAGAATTAGCTGTCTCTGAATTCAGCTACTTAAGCAGCATGCTACCCTGTGATTGACAAAGCAGGTATGATGTCAATAAGATTAGCATTTCCTTTGGGAAAGAGACAATGGTGTCTTTATGAGGGCTGTAGTTTTCAGGCTTCTAAAGTTAACTTATTTACCCACAGTGTTTGCTTGCTTCCTCATGCTTGCTCTCTCTCTCTTTCTCTTTCACACACCCACACCCACACCCGCAACCCCCACACACACACCCTACACAGACAGACAAACATCTGTAACACTTGGCCTGGAGCCCATCTAGATGTATAAGAAAAACCTGCCAAGGTGAAGACTGAGAGTTAGCAGAAGCATTAACAGGAACACCTGGCCAGTCTTTTCAGGAGTTTATAGCCACTTTGGAGTGTCTGTGACACTTTAGAGACTTCATTGACATAGCTTTGCCTTGGCTATCCCAAAATACACTTAAAAACAGAAATACCTAATTTTCTTATCTCCGTTGCGTCACTCACCTTAGTGAAGCATGCCTAGGACAAAGTAAAGAAATGAATGTGAAGGAAGAGAACAGAATGGAAAGTATCTCCCCATCCCTAACATGGAAACATTAACTCTAGGAGTCCTTTTTAATGGCTACTTATATTTGGCTTGATGTGGCTTCCTTCTTTAGTTAAGAATTCTCTCATACCAATAAATTTAATTAAAAAAGGAGATCTTTAATTTCTGAAACATTAGACACACCCATAATGAAATGTTAAGAATAAAAATACATTTTGAGTTATCTGCTGCCTTTGGAATATCTGTGTTCTTCCCTTCTTTACTAGTGCTAATATTTGAGGGTTGACTGAATGGGCCATAAGATTTCCATCTTCAACAGATTTACCAATATTTGAGTTCTTCTTTTATTAGTGTCACTCATAAGCTATATTTAATACTGAAGAGCAGAGTGAGTTGTTTTTTTTTTTTTAAACCATGATACAGTTTCACATTATGGTGGCCAGGTAGCTGACTTACTTGTTTCAGTGGTTTATTAGGTCATTTTGTAAGAAATGGTTTAAGAGTACATGGTTGTATGATTTTTAACAGTATGAAGGACCAGGGAACAACATTAACAAAGAGCTAACCTATTAAACTGGCTCCTCCTCTAGCAAATGTAGAGGGTAGATCATGTGGCAAAAGGTGTAGTAAACTCTCCCTGTAACACAAAGATATTCCTGTGGGCACTATTACTGCTATAGTAAATAGATAAGATGACAGGAGATAGATATACTCTGTACAGTAGTCCTACCTTATCCGTGAGAGAAATGTTCCAAGACCGCCAGTGGATGTCTGATACTACAGATAGTACTGAACTCTATATATACTAAGTTTTTTTCTATATATACATACCAATGATAAAGTTTAATCTATCAGTCAGACACAGTAAGAGATTAACAACAATAACTAATAATAAAATAGGACAATTACAGCAATAAAATAAGCGTTACTCGAACACAGACATTGTGATACTGCCATAACTGATCTGATAACCAAAATGGCTACTAGGTGTCTAGTTGGTGGGGAGCATATACAGCTTGAATATGCTGGACAAAGGGATGATTCAAATCTTTGGCAGAATGGAACGAGAAAGGGTGAGATTTCATCACATTACTCAGAATAGTGCACAATTTAAAAATTATGAATTGTTTATTTCTAGAATTTTCCATTTAATATTTCCAGACCACAGTTGACCATGGGTAAGTGAAACTGTAGAAAGCAAAACCAAAGATAAATGAGGACTGCTGAATATTCATCACTGGGACAAAACACATTTATTATTACAGTGAGTTATTTTTTAAGTTCAATTATGTAACTCAATTACTTTGATTAATTTATGTTAAAATCATAATTGTGTTCCCATAGAGAAAACTACCCAGTAAGTGGAAAACTGTAGAGGCAAAATTGAAGTCTACACCATGGCACAATGGTCCATCTTTTTTTTTTTAATATATAGGAATTGGCTCACTGTGTTCTTTTTTTAATTTAATATATCTTTATTGATTTCAGAGAGAGGATGAGAGAGGGAGAGAAAGAGATAGAAACATCAATGATGAGAGGCATCAATTGGCTGCCTCCTACATCCCCCCCGCTTCCCC